TTGTTGTTGTTGTTGTTGTGGTGGTGGTGGTGGTGGTGGTTGGGTATCTTCATCACCTCTGTCTTCTCAATATTCACTTGAAGTCCCGTCTCCGCTGCCCTGCCTCGCCTCTTCTGTCAACTTGTTAGTTTTTGCCTGTAGATCTTCAAGTTTGTGTGACATTAGACACAAGTCGTCGGTGAAATCCAAATCTTCTAGGTTCTTTTCCCCGATCCAGCGTATCCCCCTCTTCTCACTCCTCACACTTGTCTGCTGCATAATCCAGTCCAGTCAACCACAATCAGGAATATCATGGGTGATAGTAGACAGCCTTGTCTTACTCCTGTCTTCACTTCAAATGCATCACTGAGCTTCCCATTGTGAATTACTTGGCTGGCATGTGGCATCTCCATATAGTTGTTGAATGAGATTGATAATGGTTTCTGGCACTAAAACCGTAGTGTTGAAGCAACTGTCTGCCAAATTACTTCTCCGTTGACGTTGTCGAAGGCCTTTTCAAAGTCGATGAATTCGAGACAGAGTTGAGTTGACTGCCATTCTATGCTCTGTTCATTGATGATGATGCGTAGTGTAGCGTTGCAATTTGATCCGCACATGATCTGTTTCTCCTGAAGCTAGCTAGCCAGCCTGTTCTGGTCGTAATCTTGATGGACAAAAAATTGGAAATAAGCTTGTTGGTGACGGCTGCTTCAGCCAATACAATAATCTTCCGTTCGAGCTAAGTGTCTGCGGAGTGAAAATATGTTGAATTTTCGCACAATGAACATTGAACTTGACATTTTTTTTCGTTTTGTTATCTACTCAACAAACGGCCAGGATAAATTGCATATTTAGAAGACATAGTTAAATGATTAAAACAAAGTGAAAGCAAAGAACTTAACGTATATGTTCAGTGGAAAATTTTGGTAGCCCAAGTTTCAAGCAGACCGCTAGACGACAGTTCAAACAGGCCTTCTCGATGGCTGCCAACAAAAGCTAAACTTAGATGAAGTAAGGCTTTTTGTGACTAACCTCAACTCCTAACACTGAAATCTTCACAACAGAGATAGAATTCAGTATATTAATGTCTTCCAGTGGCATTTCTGTTCCCAAGATACTGGCTTTCATTGTACTAATTCACTGCACTAACCACGCAGCTTATTATTACTATTGTTATTAAGCATAATTGTTTGTATTATACCGTCGTTGATTGGACCGAATTGATCAGTATCTATTAGCATATGGGCTCCTGTGCGGATGCCTCGATATTACCTGTGTTCTAATCATAGTAAAAATGGATAGTGGCTAGCAGTGGAATCCAGGATGCGCATTTCATCCCATTTGGGACTCGTCAGCTGGACGAACTTGCCTCCCAGTGAGTGATGTCCCCACCGGATTCGGACTCGAGATCGATCGCTTCAAACGCCAGGGCGTTATCCACTACATCACCGAGCCACGATAGCCACTTCTTGTGCGGTGGGTTTAGTTTTAGTATAATTGCTTGTTAATACAGTCGTGGCTTGGTGGTGTAGTGGATAAAGCTCTGGTGTTTGAAGTGGTCGGTCCCGAGTCCATGTCCCGGTGGGAACAACATCACTCACTATGGGGCAGATACATCCGGCTGGCGAGTCTTTAAAAGGGTGGAATGGGCATCCTGGATTCCACTGCTACCCACTACTCATCTTTACTTTCATTATTATTATTATTTCGGATTAATATTCAGCATTTCGGTTCACTTCTAAGTTTCGTAACTGGCAATCAAATTATCGTTAATAACTAACTAGACCTCTGCAAGAATATACTTAATTTCTGAGAAGAATCAGTTAGGGACCGGGGTAGAATGCCCACTTCAAAATGATGATGAATATCAACCGGTGATACTAACTAACTGCTGCCTATGCAATATCATGAAATTCCTTAAAAGGAAGAAAATACAAACTGTTCAACTCAAATCGGATACTTAACTAGAGATATGTATGTGTTCAGTCTTCATTGTTTACTTTCCAACTGTTAGATCAGAAGAAATTTCCATTGAGACATTCAGAAACACAAAATATTTCAGCGAAAAAAATTTTCTTGCCAACGAATCATTTTTAGCAGTTGTACAATCGTATTTACAGCAATTACAAAGAAACAAGATTAGTCAGTTGATACTGGGTGATGATTGAAGATGAAATGAAGATTTGGACAGCTGTTGGATTCGAAACAACGACCACTGGGTTACCGGCCACGTGCTCTACCAACCGAGCAACGAGGTTCGACTGCTGGACAGATCTCTATTTCACATCGGTCATCAAAGGTTTTTCACTCCACCTTTAATCATCACCCAGTGTCCAGACAAGTCCGTCAAACCACCGCTATCTCAGGTAAAGTGATAGTCTTTAACTGAATTAGATTTCGATTGGAATAAGTAGTTCTAACTAAGCTGCCAATATGAGTACGATCAAGCGGTAGTAACGCGTCAAGAATTCACCTTTGGTGACTGAAGTGAAATTGAGATCTGGTCAGCAGTCAAACCTGGTTGCTCAGTTGACAGAGCACCGAGCTGGCAGCCCGGTGGCGGCTGATTGGAACCCGACAGCTGTCCAAATTTTCGTTTCACCTTCAATCATCACTCAATACCCATAAAAGTCTGCAAAACCACGCCTATCTCAGTTAGTCAAAACGAAATTAGTCTATTACTAACCAATAGGTCAACACTAGGTTGTCGAAACGTGAGGCTCTAGGGTAAAATAGTGAGTCTATTGAAGAGTTGCCAAGGGATTACGCAATCGCGTCTATATAAGGGAAGTATGCAGTAAATTAACGTGATGTCCAATTGTCTAAAACAGGTCAGAAATAATAATACCAATCAAAATTAATGATCAGAGTAAATTATTATGAGAATTTTTATGGAAGGTTGCAACTACCATGCTAAAATTTGAGGAAGTAAACCTCAAAGTAGGAATAAAAATAAAAAGTAGTGACACTCATTCAGTAAGAGTAAGATGAATACTGATGAATACTGATGAATACTGAAAAAATAAATAAACTCAAGAAAGGATTATGACCATGATAAAATAAGAGAATGGGAGTACCTTTTCTGTACACAAAGCTCCAGCTTTGGTTGTTGGATTGGCAACGCCTCTGCTATGCATAAGTGACCAATCTGTTCTCTTTTCTTGCCATTTGGCTTGACTTTGTATCGGATTTTGAAGGAAAACTATGGAAAAGCAACACGACCGGAGTTGATCAAATGATCCTAGATGAAACTGTTGCTTGAGTTGCTTTATCCTCCTGACAGCCACGGAGGATAGTCCTCGAAGATACGTTCGAAAAAACTGCACTCGATGTGACCAATATAACCAGCTCCACAAGAACTGGTAAACTAACAGACACACACAGATGCGAGCTCAAAGCCACAGTCTATCGTTCACACTACCTTGAATCAACTATTGGCTAGAGAAGACAATTCCCAATTAGGCAGCATAGAATGTTCTTCTGAATACTTTTCAGAGAAGATCAGTTAGTATTTCTGCTGGGTTACCCACCCCTCCGAATTCAATATTCGTGAATAAAGTCTTCATAGAACTTGTTCTTGTCGTTGTTTCGGTTTTATGTTTTTTTCCGCTGAACCTTGAGGGATGGGCATTCTGAAGAAGTATTTTCTGAAGGTATTCCAACTCATCGTCTAATGAGTCATTTGTGCATATTTATCTGATTCTCGCGCACAGTAAATGAATAAGGTTCCTTTTTCAGCTCAATGGTACCCAACTTTGAAGATCAGTGTACTGTCCATTCCAAGTTGGCTTTCTATAGATTAACCTTTTCAACGAGCCACCTTAAAGGAGATATCATGAAAATGAAATTCTGAGTTGCTCTCAGCTTCCCTCATGAAAATGACACGAGGATGACTGTCACTGAATGTAAGAAGACTGGCATCATGATCATTTTTCTCATCAAAGACGATAAAGGTATCATCCAGATATATATATATATATATATATATATATATATATCATTGGACGTAGTAAAGTACAACGATCCCGTTTCGATGGCCTAATGTTGACCTATTAGTCAAGTAATAGCCAATAATCTGTCTGTTTCCTATTACTATAAACACGATTGTACAGCTGCTGAAAATGATTCGTTGAAAAGAAAATTTTCTTCGATGAATTAATTTATACTTTTCAGCTGTTAGTTTACAGAACATGGATGTGCAGTCTATGATCGAAATTTAGTTCAGTGGATTATTATTTTCATGTTTCGTTTCACAATGTACCTCACTACAAGACTCAAAAAATGAACACTGTTTCATGAGTCCTAAAAAATCTATTCAATGAACCCAAGAAAGGATGAAGAATTTCTTGAAGTAATGGTAAATCTTACGGTTATCTTTAGGGGAAAATTTTGATCTTCTATAGAAAAAAATGAAAGAACCGACAAACTTTTAAGTCACTGTTCTACTTGACAGGAAATAGCAACAGTCTACATATTACTATACCAAAGTCGTATTAGATGAGTCGCTAAAGTGAAATAAATTTAGGAAATGAATTCCAGCCCCTTTGGTAGTTATTGTACACAGATGGCTTACTCATGTAATCCACATTCTAATCCAATTCTAATAAGATCGCATAAAAAGGTTGTCAGAACAGATAGTTAAGGAGCACCTGGTTCGAATCTGCTTTTTGTTAAATGTTTGTTCAACTTTCACTGCATACATATAATGTTCAGTGTGAAAGTCTTTCGAAAACTGATTGGTCGATATGAGCTGTCAAACTATAGAAAGTCAAAGAACACCAGGGACCTATCTCATCCTTGTTCGAAAGTCGTCAATAGGGTGAACCCAAGATTCAATACGATATCGAACACCAGACCATCAGGTCAGGTGATAAGCATATTACCACTGGCCTATTGTGTTAGAATATAATAATAGGCTGTCTTTCAATTTCTATCATTTATATGTATTATGTATTTTCAGAGTGTACAGCACTGATAAATTTTAAGTTTTCATACTTATATGGAAGTTTTTTCATTTAAAGAAGAACGTGCTCTTTCCTCGGAACGTCACAATTCACCAAGACAACCAACAAGTTATACCAAAGACTCTAGTCAATCAATTGAACAGGATATAACTTATCCAGATAATTTAGAACAGAATATGCTGAATGGTAGCGGTGACACTAGTGCATATTGTACTAGTGAAAGTAGAAGAAGCCAAAATAATTCAGTGATCAGTAATACACACAATAACAGTAGTAGTAATGTTAATGCCAATATTACCACCACTAATAACAGTAATGATAAGAGAACACGTAATGGAAGCCTTGTTGATCATCGTTATGGCAATAACAGTAAGGATAATAACCACAATAGTAAAACTATTCCTAATACACCATTCCCTGTGATAACAACATTATGCAACAATTATCCTGCAAGGACAATAAATAGCCTACATTACAGCGGTGGTGGTGGCGATATTAGTGGTGGTGGTGGGATTGCTGCATCACTATCTGATCTAGGTGGCTCCCTACTTTCATTGTCTGCAGTCATTTCAGATCCCCATAACCATCACCATCATCACCATAATTCCAGTGAACCTAAAGTCAATGTGAATCACACTATGACACATGATTCATTTAGTCCATCATCTAATTGGTCAATTGACGGTAATTCACAGTATAACAATCAATATATTCAACCAGATCCAATGATCAATTATGCAGAAGCTTATTATACACCAATACGCCAACTGGACTCACCACCATCAAGATCATCATCTTCTTTGATATCAGGTAGAAATACTAAATCATCGAATGAACAACTACCAAATACACAAGATAACTATAATCAATCCTCACCATCTAATCATACTTCAAGTCCATTTCATGAGAAGAAAACTATAAATTATGCAAAGGAAATTTTATTGAAAGGAAACACAAAACTACAAAACTCTAATTTTAATCTTATCCCACCTTATCAACAGCAACTGCAGTATCAAAACCAGCAACAACCTCGACATCATCAACAATTACATAATCCCAGCGTTACTTTTGAACAGAATTCACAGAAACTTCTGAAAGATGGTAAGATTTCTCTGTTAATTTTCTTATTTTCTTTATAACTGATCACAGATTGTGTTTAAATAGGAAAGAATAGCGATAACAGAAGCTTACATAAAACCTTTTTATGACAATAATATGAATCATATTGTCAGTTGATGAGCTCTAAATAGGACGAGACGCATGTCGTGGATTCCGTTGCTAGGCACTATCCATCGTTAATAATCTCAACAGTTTGCTCAAATATCAATCTACTATGTAAGGAATACCTGAGAGTCTACGATTCAAAGTTACTTAAGTGTTTAGATAGATAATCTTCTTATGGAAAAACTTCAAAGCCAGTTAAAAGCTTGAAAGTAGGATAAATACTGTTGATAAGATCCTCTGTTATAAAAAGTTGAACTAAACATGAAGTGTGTAAAATTCAAAGAAAAAGAAGAACAGACAGATGGGGAACCATACATAACCAATGGTTCATAATCTTCATCTGCTTGTACTTCGCATTCCTTGATTATAATACCGATTGCAGAAGAATGTTAACATGAACATACCTTCAAGAGTTCACTCAATTTCCAATGTCTTCACCTGAGTCTTAAACAAATGGTCACTTTGAACATTACTAGACTAACATTACATTTGTATTAAGGGGTATTCACCATGGACTGACATCAGTTGGTAAACCACTGAAAATCCGAGAGCACTAGATAGCCGTTTCATCTCAGTACGGGCTTCCTCAGCAGTACGAACCGATGACCCAGCCAGGGGTCAAACTGAGGGTCTGCCAGTTTCACGGGTGAATGTGCTAGTCATTCAGCCAGTGGGCTGGAGTTAAATCGGTGGGGGTGCATACTCCTTAGGATATCCATACTGGGACGAAACGACTGTCTAGTCCCTCCTAGTTTTCATTGGTTCCCCAAACTACGTCAGTTCGCGTTGAATACTACTCTTTTAAAAATTTCACTGGACCTCAAACTGTGATATCAGGTGTGTTAAGAGGGTTGGAAGTAACTGGTAAATAGCACTGCTTTATTTAAATTTCCTATTCGTTGGCAAAATTCGTTGAGTTCCAACATGAACAGAATATACGTCATGCAGAACTTCCTACTAATTGGCTTCATCTGTCATGCACAAAATAAAATGAATTGTGACATTCACAAACATTACAAACTTGATCGATAGTATTCCATCAGTATTTGAACCTACTTAACTTCACGCTAGTGATTATTTTCCATTAAAACAACGACTGATACTCATTCCAAAAGAGGTGGCTATGGTGTCCTAGTGGATAAGGCTTTGGCGTTTGAAGTGATAGGTACTGGCTTCAAGTCTCAAGGTGAACAACATCGCTCACGTGGTACATACACATCCGGTTGACCAGTGAGTCCCAAATAGGACGAAATGCGTATCTACCTGGATTCCACTATAGACATTGACTAATTAATTCACTGTAATACTGAACTATCTTGGATTCAAGAATTTTGATTCCAAAGTTGATGCTTTAAGAGAGGGAAACAGTAATCCATCTTGGGCTAGACATAGTTTCTAAATGTCTTATACATAAAACAATCTATATATAAGCACCTTTTTAAAATCGAAATGTAACCAAGGCAAGACAGTTTTTCAAAAGTTTTACTGTACCGTAATGATTTGGCTTTAAGAGTATACTGATGCGGTTTTTCTGTCTTTAAGAAATTCTTGATAGGTTAGTAAAGATCCATCTTCTCTACCTCTTTACAAACTAACACTAAATAATGCTTGAAAATAATTTCTGCCATGTGTTGATATTCAGTCGTTATGAAACCTTGCCTTGTTGTCATTCTTTAACTAGAAGCATCTTCAGACTTGGGGGAATTGACGTCCTCTCAGTAGTTCGAACCCACATCTGAGTAATAAGGAAAAGATAGTTGAACTGGTCACTCAATGGTATCCAGTTGTGTGTAAGTAACCTCCCAAAACTTCAGTTCTAATTGATTGCAGCCTTCCACTACATCTCCTTTATAAAATGAATGTTATCCCTCACATCAATTAAAGATTATTTATTACCGAAAAATATTCCATTCAGCAGGTGACCGTTAACAATTAGTGAAATGATTCCCCATCCCCCTTCTTTATTTCTGATCCTATTACAGGTATGTTGTCAGCCTCGATATCATCCACATCACCTCATTTTAGTTATAATCCAGTACCGCCATCTATAGACAAGAGAATCAATTATTTACAGCATTCATATGAATTTTATGATCGATTTTGTTTCCCTCAAATGACTGCAACAGCAAAAAATAGAAGAATACAAACTGTTACACAACAACATGAAAAAACATTATGGAATCAACAACTATGTAAGCCATTTTCACACTTAAATGAACCCAAGAATTTCGAAGAAACAAATCAAACTGTGAGTCAATTCAATGATATTATTTTCACACTAACTATTCTCTCAATCAGTTTAATAGAATTATTATGATTGTAGCTTACTCTGGACATTGTCCCTACTCATTATGGATACTTAAAGGCAGTTTCGATTGGTAGTTTGTGGAGACTGGGCGACTTCAAAGAGGATTTCATCACGGACTGAATTATCGTTAAATACTTGTAGCTCAGGTGGATGATCTTGGTTGTATTGTGTTCTATGAGCTGGGTGGTCTAATCGTGAAGCTTTCATTGCCTCTATAGACAACATCATCAGCATCAACTTCAATACAAAGAGAGTTATCAATATCTCCAATGAGTGGTTCGGTAGCTGACTCTGATGAACTGTTTTGTGATTGGTTGTCTCCTTTGATTGTTGTGTCATTGACTGCATAGATTTTCTTGCTATCTGTTCCTCTGCTTCACTTATGACCTTTCTGTCGTTTATCATCCAACTGACGAGTCCCAAATAGGACTATACAGACAAGGAAAGCTTTATGATTAGACCACCTAGCTCAGAGAACACAGCACAACCAAGAATTATTAAATAATGAGAGAACTGAACAGCTGGTTCATCCTATTTTATGATTCGTTAGAAGTGAGCATGAAGCCCCATAGTGGTTAAATGGTTGAATGCTAGAGACGAGATATAACTGTTCTGAGTTCGATCCCAAGTAAAATTGTAGTTAAAACTGCTAGACAGTCTTAAACTCAGAAGAAATATCTAACTAACGGTGTGAGATTGTCAATGGTATACTAGCTGCTGTTAGTTCGTGATACAACTGCTGTGAAATGCATTTTTTCCAACTGAACGAACTCCACGAAAGAAGTAGAACCTATGGACTACACAGCTGTAGTTTATTGGTCTAGGCACTTGATTTACAATGGATAAGTCATGAGTTCGAACCCCGCCTCACTTACCAAAACTTGGAAAGCCAGATAATATCATTAACTCCCAGACAATAGACGCTGTTCATTCCTTACTGTGTGGATTTTCACGAAGTGGCTGAATGGATTTCACTAATAATTACCAATGATAATTATTTAGGCTAGTTTTGGTCTCATTCGTGATAATTATTAATCGATTAGATCCTGTTGATTATGATGAAGTGTAAAAAATACATTATCAACACTAATCATCATTTGTAAGAATATTTAGTTCTCTATGTTCTCCACTTACCTCAACAGCATCTGAATATTGTTCAGGGCATTCAAACTGTGAAAATTAGTTCTTATTAAAGCTCGTGTTGATAATGAGATCGTGAAAGCGAAGATGTAGCTTATATTTTTGGTTATTTCAATCTACATGTCATAACTGCTACTGTGAGCGTGACTTATATTTTGATGCTTTCACTGTGAGAACTTATCATACAAGTTGCTCATCAGATAGGAGCCTGCCTAATCAACAATTTTTAGGCGATAAAGTCGATTGACTAAAATTAAGATGTCAACGGTAGGATCTATGACAAAATGCTACAGCGCAATATTTTTTCGGCGTTAGATATCATCAGCTGGAAGCCCAGATTCATTTAGGCTTCCAACTTGTTGATACTCATCAGCAAGATATATCTCCAGCTTTGAATAGATTCATGTTGCCTTGAAGATTCAAACTTTTGACATTATGGTATAATATTGACAATGATATTGGTATGAAGTATGTCAGCTTGAATTGACATGCAATCATGCTGAATTTTATATAACATAAATGCATACAAAGAATCTTAACAAGAATCCCATTTGAAAATAACAATTCTTAATCAAATTACTGACTGTTTATGTTAATCAAACCAAGAACAGTAGGCTGTACACTTGTAACCTTTTCTGTGTTAATTCTCTTTTGATACGTTTTTGCGATATGATAAAAAAAAAAACTACTAGAACCTGGATTATTCCATTCAGTTAATATTCACTGAATAGCTGAAATAGCATTGCAAAGATGATATTGCAGTGTATTTTTTCGTCGGCGGTCACCACTGAGGAAATAACAAAGGCTTTTTGTTCCTCCTATGTAGCTCTATTTTATTATGTTCTGCTGGTATGGAAATATACAATGTGCTATGTAATCATGTCTAATGCTAACCACACCTCAAAGCATTCCATGGAGATGGAGAGGAGTTTCTTATTACTTCTAAAATAGTCCCCTAAATAGTTATGAGTGAGATATCCTGCTACCTAATTTACAAACCAAATGAGTAGAAAAGACTGACAGCAAAAGACCTTATGTCCAGTGACAATAACCGCATCTATAAAGGTCTATATAGTAATAAGGAATGGAGTGAGAGGTCACGAAGATGTTTTGAAGGCTACTCTTTGACTGTCGAAGCACCTCTGCATCATAGCAGTGCCAGCATTTCTACAAAAAGACATATGGAATTGCCTTGCTAGGAAGATACATAAATTAGTCGTTAAGTTTGTGCGTCGTGGTGACTAAAGTAGAGGGACACCTATGAGGAAATATAGGGACAAATTCAGACTCCTCAAATGTTTTGGACAGAAGCAACTCTCGGTTTCAAAAGAAATATAAATCAATCTACAAAGATGGGTTTCGAATGGCGAGGCTTTGAAAGAGATAACGGAAGAGTACTGTTTTGTTGGGTACAAGGTTTGTCGTTCAGACCAAGTCAGGATTTAGACAATAAAAGTATTTCTGAACAGTCGAGTGCGAGACAGTGTAGTGGGCGAGGTGAGAGCCAAAAGTCCAAGAATTTTGCTTGGCAAATAGCACTCGAGATCAGTAATGTGTATCAAGTTGTGCATCAGGGAGGGGATTATATATAAGTCAAATGTCGTTCGGACCATGTCCAAATCACAGCTGGACCTGAAGCGGGGATAATACACAAACATCCAGTGAAGACAGGAGATTCAAGAACTATACACAAACAAAAAACATTACACTAGTCATAAGCTGATTATCGTCACAATCAGCAAAGATCTACTTAGAGTCAGTGTTTTTGAAAGCGCGATAGCTGATAGAAAAATACAAAAGACCCATCGAAAGGATAATGAGGTACAACAAATTAAAGCCTTTGCTTATCCACAGTCAACTAATTCCTGTCAGTGAAATGTATATGGACTGACACTATGCTGCTGTAATATGTTCAACGATTGCGCCAGTTGTTTACTTATCCAATTCATTCCCAGTAAAGATATGATGAAACAGATTACGGGCACTAAGAAGTTTAATGGTCACAATATCAACGAACAACAATATACTAAAGGCATAGGATATTTGTAACATCAATAAACATCATCATAATGGTGTTATGAATAATTAGCTTATCAGGTTGGAATTGATCATGGACTGACATCAGATGGAAGAAGATTGGAAACTTGGGAGCAATGGGCAGCTGTTTCATCCCGCTTGTATGGAACTCCTTAGCAGTGTGCACCCATGACCCTACTCCATCAGGTATCGAACCCAGAACCTTCAGGTTCTGTGGCCAGCACGTTACCACTGAGGCCCTGGGTTGAAATCCGATGATCCAAATTTCCTACTTCTGTCGATTCACAACATAGAGCGTCCTATATCCAATGTCGTCGTTGAGTAACTGTCCTCATGTCCGACTTGGTTGACTCCACTGGTCACGACTTTCCATTGGAACCTCCACAAACCTCCAGATAGGATTAATCTGGCGCTCATGGGTGACTAGCTACAAGAGGTGATTCCTGAGGTTCCAATGAGGAGTCATGACCAGTGGAGTCAACCAAGTCGAACATGAGGACAGTTACTCAATAACGACATTGGGTATAGGCAACGCTATACCATGAACTGGCAGAAGTTGGAAATGTGGACAACTGGATTCTGATCCAGTGGCTCAATGGTAACGTGCTGGCCATGAGACCTGACGGTCCTGGGTTCGATCCCTAGTGGGGTGAGGTCATGGGTGTGCACTTCTAAGAAGTCCCATACAATTGGGACGAAACAGCTGTCCAGTGCTCCTAAGTTTCCAATGTTCCTCCAACTGATGTCATTCCATGATCAGTTCCAACCTGAAATCAATTAATAAACCTCCAAACAGAATTTGATTATCAGTTTACTGCTTCATCATAACAGGAATGAAGCTGGATAAATTTCATTACGTGCGTAAAAAAATTTTCTGAGGAATATTTTCCATTTCGTTACTAAATGCAGGAAGTCAGTGGAAAGACAGCTCTGTATCCTTCATGCAAACTTGTTAGGAAACTTGAGAACATTTCATGTTCACCAGGAGACTCTAACCTAAACCATTCTTTATTGAAGCCTGTCGACCCATGGCATTTAATCCCAAATCACCGTTCATTATGAGGTCGCTCCACTTACGTAAGTAGCCACACTGAAAAACTGATCGATTTACTTCAATCAGTGTTGAATACTAAGAACTAAACAGCTAGATGCATTTCTGATCTTCCAGTGAACAGGTCATGCGCATATAATATGATGGAACTAAAAGCAACGACACGCTTAAAGTTGAAAGTGTAATGTTGTACTATTAATAAATCGACTATTAACATTCAGATAACTAGCAGGTAATCAGCCATCTTTTATACCAATATGTTTACGTATTACTATGTAAACGTGATATTCATGTTGTTATTGTAACAAAAGCATCGGATGGATGAATCTTAGAGGAACCACTAAGTAAGGCTAAACAAATTTACTGCAAACTAATCAAAATATATCTCTAATGAACTATTTGTCAAAGAAGTCTATTGGCATATAGACGTATCTTCGAATACATAATTGTGTAGACCAGTCTATATACACCGAATGTATTTTGTGTAGACAAAATGACACGAGTAAAGAATACATATATAGAAAGGCGAGTAAAGAGAAAAAAGAAAGTGTAATTATTTGTATACATCAATTTTCCTCCTTCTTGCCTAGACAAAGAAGAAAATATAAATCACTTGCCATATGTAGATGAGTGGAAGTACGTCTGTACGTATGTTGGCACTTACACACACGCACGAACCGTACAAGCACAGTCACTCATTCAATCATCTACA